TAAATATATATATATATCTCGCAACCTGTCAGATTTGGGTTGGAATCATGTGTCTAACCACTCGAGTAACACTCTCATATAGCATCAGTCACCTGGGGGGATTCGAATCCCAGACCAGAGGGGTCTTACAATTGACGAAGCAGCCTCACAACTAATCTGTGAACGTGACACTATATATATTATTGATTTTTTTTTTATAATTTAAATTCACAAAATCCATTAAAGTTAAAACTCATATTTTCTTTTGATCAAAAACTTAGCTCTTAGAATAAATTTAGGAGTGGAGAAAGTTAGAAATAACTAAAATGATATACAAAAAAATAATAATAAAAAAATAAAAAAGCTATTTGAAACCCATTTAATTAATTAAGTATTTAATTTAATGCAATTTATTTATTAGACATTATTATTATCATTGTTTTGTAAAATTAGCTTTTATATTACTCATAGTGAGGTTAAAATTCATATGCAAGTAAAAAATAAATGATTAAACCAATCACCAAATTTGGTCATACAATGAATCCGACGACTCAACTACATCTTAAACAAATCGCAAAATTGACACTTCAACCTCTACTTAACAATATCCTCAAGTCTATTGGTAACTAATTTTAGAGTCATTACATACATTTCACACAATTCTTATGCACTTAAACTTTAATATTTATATTTATAACCCTCAAATCTTCAACTTCACATCAAAAAATACTAATTTTACTAACTTTTTAAAAATCAAATGCATCATTTTATGCATTGATCTATAACACAAAGGTGTTATAAATATAACTATTAAAGTTTAGGTTTATATTTATATATATAAAGTCAAAGTAATATTCATATTATGAGTGTACAAAACATTGCTTGTGATTGAAAACATTGATTATTCAATCATATTTTTTACTTATTTCTCACATATTTATCTATGAAGTTATTAATCGAGAAGCATATGGACAGAGAGAGGTTAGGAATTGAAGAGTACGTATAAGAAAACACTGATCTTTAGCTTTGATTTTCTCAACATGTAGATCCAATATATTAGTAAATATGATGTAACGTTCAAATCATGATAACCACATGAAAAAATATGACAAGTACCCCTCATTAAATTCATTGAATAGTCAATTTGCTTCAGCATAAAATAATGGCTAAAATATTCTCCAATTATTTCTTCTCCCAAAATTTCCGACAAATGGCTTTTTACATCTTTCATTAATTATGTAATCTTAATGCATGTGATGGCTAGTAATCAACACATCATCCACACACACGTTAGATTGTGAATTTAGCTGAAGATCGTTAATCATTCGAAAATTGATTTGAATCTTTGTTCAGATGGAGATCGGATCAAAGTAAATGAGCCAAACTATGAGTCAAAATTTTAGTTCGAATTTTTTTCGAGCCGACACAGCTCAACTCAAAATAGGATCATTAATAGTTCTAAGAATGTTAGCATTGTGAATTAAATGAATTTAACTCGAAGATAGTTAATCGCTGGAAAATTCATTCGGATTTTGGTCTGGATCTAGATCAGATTAAAATAAACGAGCGGTGCTACGAGTCAAAATTTTGGATCAAATTTTTTCAAATTGATTTTGAGCCAACCCCAACTCAGCTTGAAATCTGATCATTTTGATGCAATTAGATTACTAAAATATTATATAAATAGATATTAAAATCCGTCAAAAATAGTTTACAATTCTAACGGTCCAACACAACAAATAAGGATAGCTGATGCACAATAAATTTAGGTCAATTAATTGAATAACGTGATGCGCATCAAATCATATCCTTAAATAAACATACAGTACAATAAAACTAATAAGGTCCAGTAGATTCACGAGGACCTGAATAAATAGCATCGCTGATACATGAAACATATATATATATATAATACAAACATGGCATTTTCTTATGGGGACATTTACATGCATACCACAAGATTCTTTTGTATTTTACATTTATAACACGTAACATTCACGATTATTACATACATACCATTTATATTTTTAAAATCACAGAAAAAATATCACAAATTTTATCTTTTTAAAAATAAAATACATATTTTGATGCATGCATGTATGACGTCAATGTGTTTCATAAGAATAGTGTGGTATGCGTGTAAATTTATGTTTTTTTACACTTAATCAATTTGAGGTATTTACATATATATCATCTAATTCTTGTGTATTCACATATCTAACACTTAAATTCAATCTTTTACATTAACCACTCAATCGCATAAAAAAATATCAAATTTTTTTTACTTTGCAAATATGTAATACACATTTACATGCATATGTAAGATGTCATATACATAAATTTGAAATTTAGATGTTTGATGTGTGAATACATGACAGTTATATATGTGTTATGGAAGTAAAACTTCCAATATTTTATGGAAGATGTACATATTTTTATGCATTTACACATCTAACATATAAACTTCAATATTTACGTATGTACCTACCATCTTTTACTGCAAAAAAATGGGCACATCACCTTTCAAAAGTTCAAATGATTATGGTTTTTATGTGATGTAAAACATTGGTGTTGTATTAGTGTAAAATGTAAAATTTATGTGTTAAATATTACATAGAAATTGGGTGGTATTTATATAAATGCCCCTATATATATGTGTAAAGTGTAATATTATATTTGATTCATTAATCTTTCAAAGTACTTAGATATTTGAGCAAAGTGGCTCCGAATAGGGGTGTCAAATATTGACCCGACATGTCAACACGACTCGAACTGGACCCGACATGTCAACACGACACGAATTGGACTCGAAAAATCTAACTTAAGTTTGACCCGAATATTTTTCGAGCCGCGTTCGTGTCAGAAATTTTGATTTATTTATTATTAGGGTCGGATTCGAGTTGAATCCGAAAACCCAAACATAACCGGAATAAAAATGAAATTTTGGGTTGGTTTTGGGTAAGCAGGTCACACTTGGGTTCGGGCGGCGGTCCTATTTAGATGGCATCACTTTTTAGTCCAACATAAACCCGCCTTGCTTACACTGCCTATTAGAAATAAACAGATATTAGTTGCGAAAAACATGCAACAGAAACAGAGAGAGGAGCATATTGGCGGCCACATCAATCATCCCCCGCGGGGGTACCAAAACCCCCGCCAGTAGTAAATGAGAGGAGAAAGGGGGATGCATCTCAGACCGGATCCCTCCCATCAATCGTGGGCCCCACACTCCATGCAGATCCAGTCCTCAATTCCTCTATTTGTCAATTGCCACTTGCCTACTTCCAACTGGACCCCCCCGCCACTCTCTCTCTCATGACTTGTTGTTAGCCCCACGCCCAAGCGCAACATACACTCTCCTACCTCTTTTTGCCTCTTTCCCATGAATCTTCCTCCCCCCCCAAGTTGACCCAATAGGATTTATATGATTAGTGGGAAATTATAATTTAATAAATAGAAGATATTAAATAAAGAAAAAAAAAGAATAGATCTACTCATTTTTTAAATTTTAGTTAAAAGCTTAATTTGTTTTATATTATTTCAAACTAGCTTAATTTTAGCATGATTTAAATATTATTGGACACAATATAGATGAGTTTTATAGAATTTTTTATTTGTTAAAATCAGCATAAAAATAAATCCTCTTGTTAAGTCTTAAATGAATTCTACCTGAAATTTGAAAAAAAAAAGTATATTTTTATTAATTTTTTTTTTTTACAACTAAAAAAATTAGTCAACTTATTTTAAAAAATAATAAAAATGATTTCTTTATATCCATAATTACTATTATTATTATTTTTAATTATTACATATTATTGCTAAGCTAAACAGACCCAAAACTAATTCATAACTTCAAATCTCTCTTCATAAATATTAAATAAGCTTCACATTAAAAAAAACATATTTACTTAAATTCAAGCTCCCTTCTCTATAAAACCATCCAATCTCCCCTTAACCTTTCCATACACAAATAAAAACCCATCCCACCCCCCATTCATCACTTCAATTCCTCCCATTCATTCATCTCCCCCACTCCTCTCACTCCCACCACCACCACTCTCCCCAATGCAATCCAATTCCTGCAACTCCTCCTCCTCTTCCACCCTCGACCTCCCCTCCCCTACCCTCCATCCCATCCACAGCAACCACAGCGCCATCACCAGCCCTGCACCCACAACCCCCTCCTCCGAACCCTCCACCGAAGCAGAGTCCAAAAAACTCCCCTCTTCCCAATACAAAGGAGTCGTCCCCCAACCCAACGGCCGCTGGGGCGCTCAGATCTACGAGAAACACCGCCGCGTTTGGCTCGGCACCTTCAATCTCGAACACGACGCCGCCCGCGCCTACGACCTCGCCGCGCAGCGCTTCCGCGGCCGCGACGCCATCACCAACTTCCCCCCACTTTCCCTCTCCGCCGATCCCCACGAACTCTCCTTCCTCCTCTCGCGCTCCAAAGCGGAGATCGTCGACATGCTCCGCAAGCACACGTATCTCGACGAGCTCCGCCTCTGCCCTCCCCTGTTTTCGCCCAAAAACGCGTCCGTCGTTTCATCCAAGCCCGCAAGGGAGCATCTTTTCGACAAAGCCGTCACGCCCAGCGACGTCGGCAAACTCAACCGGCTCGTGATCCCCAAACAGCACGCGGAGAAGCATTTCCCGCTTGCGGACGGAGCGAAGGGAGTTTTGTTAAATTTTGAGGAGGGATGCGCGGGGGGGAAGGTGTGGAGGTTTCGTTATTCGTATTGGAATAGCAGTCAGAGCTACGTGCTGACGAAGGGATGGAGCAGGTTCGTTAAGGAGAAGGGGTTGGTGGCCGGTGATTTGGTTGGGTTCTATCGTTCCAAGGGGGAGGAGAGGCAGTTTTATATCGATTGCCGGCCGCGAGGGGAGGAAGGGGGAGGAGTGCAGACTTTCCGGCTCTTTGGGGTGAATATAGGTATTCTGGGAAGTCTGAATATGAATAAAAAGAGGAGTTTTGAAGGGATGGAGGTGGGATTGTTGATGAAGAAGCAATGTGTGGGCGGTTTAGGTTAGTGATTGTTATTTGTTTGTTGTACGTATAAGTGGATGATGTTGCAAGTGTATATTGGTAATGTGGTCTACCATTTTCTAACTTAAATTTTTGTTATTTTCTTAAGAAGTAGGATGACTCGATTGTTCTTCATGATTGTGTTTGTTATTTGTGTCAATACACGGAAATGGTTAAATTTAAGTGCTTCATGGCTTTTAAAGCATGAATTATCTACGCGTTTTGTTTATTTTTGTAGCTTATTTAGTTGGATATTTTTCTATTTAATTTGATTGGCTTTATGTTTGTTTTTATACGCCATGAATTAGCTTTGGGATAACTTCGATTTTTTTGTCCTAGGGCTCCAATATGTTTTAAAATTTAACTATTTGCATCTCTCCCACGCGTTATATTTGAATGGGGCAATAGAAAATTCTTTTAAAAACATTAGGCGTATTAGAGAAAATTTAAGTAATGTCATAGTCAAAGAAGGAAAATATAATTTATATTATTAAGTAGTATTATACTATATATATATTATATAAGCCTAGTTTTCTTGGGAAACAAAAGATTTGTGATTGTGTCGACTTGAATCATATACAAGCTCACACTTTAGTGATCATAAGTTTTCTACGCTTAATTTTGCTTAAGGGGAAGATTAGAGTTAAGCTCTCTCCATGGAATTAATTGTAGTTTGTTAATTAGTATTATGCACCCTTAATCATAACACTGGTCTTTAGAAACCATGATTTATTGTTTGGCTAGCTAGGTTTTTTTTCTGAGGTTACAATATTAATTCTTTATTACATGATTTTAAAATTTTTCTTAAGAATCGAACGGTTGGACAATCTTGAAGCATTTGACCCTATGGCTTAGTTCAAAGCTCTATAATTAGTCATGTATTACTAATTATTTATTAATGAATTAAATTAAAGTCATAACCATGTGTTGAATATTTTAATCACCGATTAAGCTTGCACATATTGAGTGTAAATTTGGCAGTAAACTAAATAGATTCATATGAATTGAACAGACTAATCCGTTGATTTATTAATCAAGTAGTTGATAGCATGTAAGCATAGTGTCTAGACTAACTAATAACCTCCTTGAAGTGATCTTATCAGAGCAATGCTAGTGTGTACAAGCTAAAGGGAGGCATGCCCTTTACAATTAATTAAAACTCTTAGAAATATATATACCTTTGGGTGTGAAATTGGTATGCAACTTCGTAAGACCCATCTAACCCCTACGGGAGCAGATAACAAGATGAGAATATATATATATATCTGTGTGTGTGTGTGTGCGGTTGTTTCTTATCTGTGGAGCAAAACCTAATTCTTCAATCATAAGATGTGCTATTCTGAACATCTGACTACACAAAGAAAAAATTTCTTCCTTTACAAAATATTACTGAAGCAAATGAGAAAAAATATATATATATATTATTTTTAGTTGTAATTGTTCTTGAACTTGTGCATGGGAGAATATGATGTGGTTTACTTCAAATGGTGCAAAAATGTCTAGGCATTGCTTTTAAAAATAAGATTTTATTAAAATTTCTGAGAAATATTACTCATAAATAACCTTTAAATCTTAAAAAGAAAAAAAAAAACAACTATAATACCAATGCGTGACTAATATATATAGCAGGCTTAAATAAAAACACATTGAAATAAACTTGTATAATTCAAATATGTGCGTTCATAACTTAAAAAGCAAAGTAATGAAGCATGAGACATTGCTTGTAACTAATCACTCATATTTTAATATATAGAAACTTTAAACTAAGATGTTTGGCCATACAAAGTCACAAATTCTCAATTCCCAATTAAGTAATATGATTAGTATTGCGTGCCGAAAGTTATCAATGGCTCCTCAGTCCATAAAAGACTTTTGAATTCCTCCACTTCCTCCCCCTCCTCAATTGAAGAGAGGGGTCTATTTATAGCCTCTGGGTAGGAGAATTTGGTCTTTTTGGTGACTATATCCCGATCAACTAATCTGATGACCCATATTGATTATCTTTAATTAGAGAGTTTCTTTTTTAAAAATTTTAAGCACTTTAATGATATCAGAATTGAGTGATATTTGGATCGTTGGATTCCTTTAGCCAAAACACTCAAATTGACTATAAATATGTTAAATTTGGTGTTAATTTCACCGTTCAAATGACAATCAAAGGTCTCTAAATGTGCATTAATGATTTGATCCAAATTTGATTGAACTTAGATTAACCCAGCTTTGACATCATCAAGTTGGTCTTGTCGAGATGGTCAACTTGATTATAAACTTGTTGATATCTGAGTCTGGTCAAATGACAATCAAAGGTCTCTAAATGTGCATTAATGATTTGATCCAAATTTGATTGAACTTAGATTAACCCAACTTTGACATCATCAAGTTGGTCTTGTCGAGATGGTGAATTTGATTATAAACTTGTTGATATCTGAGTCTGGTTCATCTTAAATTTAAACCTGTAACATTTATTACTAAAAAAAATATTGCGTCCACCTGTCCGCATGTCTAGTCGGCCGCTCACGGGGCACTACGTCACCTACAAATAAGATGTATGACGATGTGCGCCCTATGATTGACCGCGTGCGGCATTCTAACTCAATATTTTCTCCTAAATTCATGCGTTGTAATTTTAAAACGTGAGCAACACTTGCTTATATTAGTAATAATATTTAACAATTAATCTTTCAGGAAAATTAAAAAAAAAAGTATGATTATTACAAATTCTATTAAAAACAGAAAATAGGGCCATTTTTAAGGCCATGAACCATTTCCATATATATATATATATATATATATGCATATATATATATAACACAATGGTGGCGGTTATCTTCTTTCGC